GACAAAATGACACAAGAAAATGAAACAGCAATGACAAACAATAGTAACATACTGACAGGCTTTCCTCCTCAATAAAAATGCGAAATGATGGGGTTTTGCAATTCATACTAGGGACATATGTTGCCCCTCCGCTTCCCAAGGGTGCCTCATTGATTGTTAAAACAATAACAAAGTGTAAGCATGAGACAAGCAGCAATCATAATCAATTATTGAGAAAAAAAGCCTATCGGTTATGTACATGTATCTCAATTTGAATTTAGTTGGTTTTAGAGTAGCCTGCTAGTTTTTCAGGACAGGAGAAAACTGGAGTTCCCCAAAGAAAAACCTCTCTAGGATTAGGAGAGAACTAACAACAAACTCAACCCACCTATGGCATCAACACCGGGATTTGATAAGCCAGGTCAACTTTTTTTTCTCTGATTTTCTTGTACTTTTATATTTACCATTCTTCCATTTCCAGTAAACTCCTGTACTAGTCATTCTTCTAGTCTTTTGAGTTAAGCCAGGGTTTACTGCCATGCCACCTTTAGATTGCTCTCACATAAATGTTAAGTAACTTGAATTGTTACTTTAATAATTAAAAAAATGTTACTCTATACACTGTTAACAAGTCAAATGTGGAATTAACAGTATGATATCACTTATTTTGGCTTTAGCATGAGAAAACAACTGACAATTTGTGATGCCATCACTGGCTTCCCCACGAAATGACATCTACTGGACAACTGCAGAAATTCCTTACTGACTGGCTGAAAATTTGTTTCATCTAATCAGAAGCAATTCCCAGATCTGGGTGTGACACGTCATCACTGAAATTTCTGCAGTTTTTCCTCAGATATGATTTCGTGGGGAAACCAGTGGTGACGTGGGAAAGTTGGCTGTTTTCTCAAGTTAATTTTGGCTGTTGTTGTAGAATCATAAAGATGACAAAGACCGTGACAACACAGATTCATTGAAGCTGGCTCAAGATGTGATCTCTCAGATTCTGGCAGCAGTTTTAAATTTTTCAGACCTGAATGACAATTTTTGCTTAGCATGTGATGAAGCTGGTATGGTGAAAATTTTGATTAAAATTTCTCAGGAATTGCAAGATTCAGTTTCTCACCATGTTAAATATATGGTAGGTAAACAATATTATTATACTTGTCATTTTTTAGCACTTCATCATAAGACTGACCGTGTAATGTGTTACAAGGCTTAACAATCCCATCTGTTTGTCCGAGACAAGTGCATTAGGCAAGTAACTTCTAAATTTCACTTCCCCAATGGGCAATGGTCTAAGATTATCTTCTAACCAAATCGTTAACTAAGATCAGCAGGAAGTGGCCCTGGGCGGGCAAAATGTGGGAGCTGCTTGCCCAAAGGACAAGCTGGAATTCAAGTTTTTTTTGAGCCCTGTGGTATCCTAGTAAAATATTGTAGCTTAATAATGTAATGCCAATTTTATATTAAGAGGGAAAACAGAACAGAGCAGCCAAATTTTTGTCTGCAGTCTGAAAATTAAATTCTGGCCATGCATGGGGCAATCCTTTTTTTGGGTGGCTGTAAAATGGTTTTTTCATTTTAAGGTTAATAGATGGAAACTGTCAATACAGGCAAGGTTGAGGGGGTACCTGAGGCAGTTACTCCCGGTAATATACTAGCTGGGCAAGGACTCAGGAGGCTTTGTCATTAAGAAGCTCTTTGAGGCTGGAAGTATCTTATTTTGAAAGATTATGTAGGGATTTCATGAGTTGAGACTGGGTACAATTGTTGAAAATTATAGTAAATAATTCTCAAACAGACATTTTGAAATGTAGTGACCTGATTTTAAAATGTAAAGAGGTGACCCAAGTAAAAATTTTTGGAAAGTGTATGTGTCATCCCACCCCGGGCATCCCAGTGATTTTTACATGGGTAATTTTACTGATTTTTGAAGGTTCTGGTAATTTTTCTTGCACAAAGTTATGATCATTTCAAGATTTTATGCACATTGGCCACAAAGCCATGCCTTAACATGGGTGAGCTATATATTTTTAGAAGTTTACAATAAACGGAATTTGAAATTTTGTTTACTTGATTTGGCTTTTGCCACTTTTGGAAGTCAGGAAAAGGTTAGATTGCGGCTTTAAGAAGGGAGAATGAACCAGAGTGGAACTTTTAAAACTTAATTCGCCCATTTTTTAAAGATAACAATTATACACTGATGTAGTTCCTTTTTTTGTTATTTAAAGAATCCTGAAACTCAGCAACTCTCCAAATACACAGTGCGAGGCAAAATGCTTTCCAGAGCCTTGGGAATCCTTCATAATTTATCAAAACGTGTACCAACAAGAAGGAGCTTTGCTGCTTGTCAAGCGATAGACATGCTTATTCCTCTTCTCAAAGCTGAAGTCACACTTTTCAGCGCCAAGAGTCTCCTTGTCTTAGCATACTTGACAGATGAAGAGAATAATCATTTAATAATGGCAGATGAAGGTAATATTTACACAGTCGTTTTTTATGCAGATTAGGCCGAATTGATTGTAATGTGTACGGTTAAAAAAGTAAATGACTTTACGGGGCTTAAAAAAAATGCATTTTTTAAATATTTCTTATTTTAACCATGTTTAAAGATCATGACTTTCTAAATTTGTCTTTACTATTTAAAATACCTTCCTAAACGTGAGTTCTTTCTCACTTCTGTATTAATAAGGTGAAGTTACACGAGACGATTGGCAACGACGAGTTTTAGCGCAACATTGTGTTGCAACATTGTTGCGACATTGTTTTGAATAGTTACATCATTGTCCCAACATTGCAACGCTATGTTGCGCTAAAAATCGTCGTTGGGAATCGTCCCGTGTAACATCACCTTTAGGCCCCGCCCATACGAATCCGGATATTTTTGAAGCTGCATTTTTTTTACACTAATCAGCCTTACGTCCAAACGAAACCAGTGAATCCAAACCACACCTTTTTGAAACCGCTCTCCAGTCGTTTAGGGCTCCTTCCACACGAATCTGGGGGCCTAATTAACTCTTCTTACGAAGCTCACTCTTGAGTTACAGGGCTAGAGACACCTGTGTGTTTTTGTGTTTATCCTCTGTAAGAGTTTTCATTTTTTCCTCAGTCTAGATAGATAGATAACTTTATTTAAACACGGTTAAAATTCCTTCAGCATGTACAAAAAATCTAAGATCTATAATACCTAACTAAACTAACTCTGATTAAAAATATATTCATTAAATTTTAACTAACTAGCTATTTACAAATAAAAGCTGCTTTTCAAGGATGCCGTGTAAAACTGTATTAATGTATGATCTCATTCAAAACTGTTGCGACACAGTTTGCGTTGTAAAGAATCTGCAGATCTTAAATCATGGGATAGGCTGTTCCACAGCTTAGCTCCGCTATAGGAGATACTTTTCTTTAAATAATTGGTACGGGGCAGTGGAAGGACTAATTTATTTTCAGTATTCCTCAATCGATAAGAAGTTATTTCGTCACGAGATACAAATTTAGATGTTAGATAGTCGGGAGTCATCCTATGTACGGTTTTATACATCATAATAGCCGTCGATACTTGTCTTTGGTGTTTAAGCTTACGCCAACCCAGTGCCAGGAACAAATCGTCC